CGAGCTGGTGGCGAGTTTTGGGCTCGCCCCGCTCTTCCACCTCATCCTCCCGGTCCCAGCCATCAACCGTGCTCTTCTTAGTGGTCTTCCATGGCCGTTCTCCTGGCTCCGGGAGTGCGCTTACCAGGTATTTCATGGGGATGAAACCGATCTCGCCTCCTGCGCAGAGCTTGAACTGGCGCTTCACCAGCTGGTCGCTTCCTTGAAGGGCCAGCTTGGGTTTGGTGAGCTTGGTCTTCTCCTCCCAAACCCTCTCCAGCTGTCCCCGTTCGCACGAGACCGTGAGATTCGGGGCGGTGTCCCCGGGCGTGTGTGGCCCGGGTCCCGCTGTTGCATGCGCCCCAACTCCCATGGATCGTTGAGCCGCGTGAACCACCTGGAACATGCGGGCCGCGATCAGCCGGGAGGTCACATCCGTGTAGTGGTGGTTGTTGGGGGCGAAGCCCAACTCCCCCGGCGCCGTCTCCCTTGCACGGTCGGGCGAGTCCCACCGGGTCGCGAGGTCCTCCATCGAGACAAAGCCCTCATCCGACAGTGTCGCTTGGATGAACCACGGGATGCCCTTGAGGACCATGAGGTTCCTGGCGGTCTTGTGGAGCTTAGCCACTGCGTCCGTGTACACTCCAGGAACTTCCTGTGGTGGTGCCACCAACTCATCTGGTGTCACCGCCATGGCGTGGGTGGGCGGGATTTCAAATCACAAGACAAAAGATCAAAAGGTCCACTTGAGCCAAAATGGTGGCCCAAGTGGATTCAAGACAAGCGACCACCTACGGTTAACGCTTTAGCCCCCCCCCCGGGGTGCGCTGCGCATCCGTTCCGGATGGCCGCGGTCCTGGATGGTGTGCCGGAAGATGGCGTTGTCCCGCATCCTCACGCGGCCCCCTTCGCGATGTCATCGATGCGCTTGAGCGCAGCAGCCTCCGGATTCCGCAGAATCAGCTCCCAGATGGCATTGGAGACGTGGCCTGTCTGGGTGGTCTGGCTGAATCTGAACCTGGGCACCTTCTGGTCCACGATGGAGACGTCCCGCAACGGGGCCGAGGGCTCCACCCGGCGGTAGTACTCCAGCCGCTCCTTCACCCAGCGGTTGTAGAGGCCCTCCGGCGGCTCGTCCAACACCAGCTGCAAGATGGCCTTGCCGGCCCGGATCTGGAGGAGGCGGGTGCCCCCTCCCCCGGCACGCCAGTACCCCTTACAATACTTGCACATGTAGCCCCCCCGGGTCTCCCCTTTTGTCTTCGGGATGAGTTCCCACGGGGTGACGGAGCTCAGGACCAGGCCACACTCCATGTGCGCCCAGAAGACATGCTTCATCTCCACCGGATAGTTCTTCTTCCGGTAGTCCTTACCCACCACGCCGTGGACGTTGTCCGCCGTGATGGGGGGGTAAACGATCCCCTCATCGCCCTCGCCTCCCCTGGGGCGGATGTCAGGGCCATCGGCACCTGTCCGGCACCCAGGGGCGGAGGGGTCCAGGCCCATCAGCTTGATCATGTCGTTGGTGTAGCCGAGCTTGCGGTAGATGGAGGGGGCCACTGAGTCGGGGACTGCGCCGACCCACCACTGCTTCGTGTTGCAGCGCCAGTTGACCTTCACCTCCGCCAGGGCCCCCGGGCCTCCAATGCGGTCCATGAGGGCCTTGTACACCTCTGGGAACTGCTGGAGGCTCTCCACCGGGACCGAGATGCGCTCGTCGCATACCGCCCGCAGGATCATCTGCTCCTTGGAGTCCGCCACGTCCTGGACCGGGAGCTGCATCACCTCCGCCGGGGTGTCCGTGAGGAAGGCCCGGGCCGCGAGGACCTTGCCCATGGCCCGGTAGACCAATCGCCACTCCGGTCCTGTCTGCGGAAACGGAAGGCCCTCCTCCTTCAGGAAGCACCGCGCGTCCTCCTTCAGGGTCTCCCAGCCCTCCAGGCGGGTCTGATTCTGGGCCTTGTTTTTCGGGCCCCGCTGCCTAGGGCCCTGCAGCAGTGGCAGAGACTCCCAGACTCCCCAGAGCTGGCGCAGGGTGTAGCTGTGCCCGAACATCCCCAGTAGGCCTGGGAGTGTCCAGGACGAGATCTGGCGCATCCAGTGGAAGTCCTCATCCGGATCGTGGGGGGCAGCCCAAAAGATGGATCGCAGGTCCCCAGGGTAGGGTCGGTCCCCCGCCTTCGCCTGCTGGTTCAACTCATCAACGGAGTACCTGGCCCAGGGGAGTCCACCCACCTGGTGGTTCCTGGGATGCGTACCCTTCTCCAACGCCTCCGGATTCACCTTGGTGAGGTTTTTCGCCCAATCCGGGACGTGTACCGGGCCCGGTCGTCGGACCCAGCGGCCCGCAAAGATACGGACCTCTCCGACCCGTTTGCTCATCATCCAGCGCAGGACCGAGAGCTGCACCTCCGGGTCCTTGGTGTCCAGGCCCACCGGGGTGGCGGACGGCTTGTCAGGGCCCTCGGCACCTGAGCTCGTCACGCCAGAGCCCGAGGCTGGGGGGATGGTGGGCGGCCTGTCAGGGCCCTCGGCACCTGGGCGCGCCGCACCAGAGCCCCCCGCCTTTGGCATGGGGATCCCTGTCAGGTCCGGCAGATCTGACAGGAGGGCCGCCGGGAAGGGATTCCTACCCAGCGAGATGACCGCCTTGGCCTCAAGGTAGGAGTCCGTGAGGGATGTGAGGTCGTCCATACTGAAGTCCCTCCATGCCGTTGTCGGCTCGAAGACCCCAGTCTCAATGGCGACCCGGACCTCACTAGGCCACGCACTGAAGGGAGGCGCGATGGGCTCGAGCATTCTGGTTTCGAGGGAGCCCTTCGCCTGTCTGGCTTGGTGTTTCGCTTTCGCCTCCTCCGCAGTGGTCTGGGCCTGGAGGAGCTCCGGTGTGGGTCTCCCCCAGTCCGCACCCAGCTTGTCCAGCAGCTTCTCACGGAAGAGGTCCAAGTCCAGGTTCTTCAGGAGCAGGCCTCCATCACCTCCTCCGTCAATGGCCCCCCCTTGAAGTTCGTGGAGGACCGCCGCGGAGCGCTCCACCGCTTCCACCTGGTCCGCCTTCTTGGCCTCCTCCTGGGCGATGGTGGTGGCGTTGAGCCGGGTCTGAATCTTGAAGGCCTTCACCGCAGACGGGTGGAAGGCTCTGCATTCCTGGCCCTCTTCTTTGTCGCCTGGCAATGGGGGCCTCTCCCCCGGTGGGGCCGTCAGAAACCTCGTCCAGCTCCATGGGGCAGTTCCTGATCACCGCCCGGACCGAGGAGGGGACGAAGTCCGAGAAGCTGGCCTGGTCCGGGTTCTCGCAGGCCATCGGGTCGGTGGCCAGCTCGCTGACGTCCACCGAGGCACTGAGCTTGAGGTCGCGGGCCCGGTCCGTGTCAGGGCCTTCGGCACCCGCGGACCGGGCCGCCGTCCAGACCGCATTGCCCTGGTCATCCACCGTCAACTGCCAATGCGTGCCCGCCATCTCCAGGGTGGCCGAGTTGGTCGCCGTGTCAATGGGCTCCGTCTTCTTGCCGCACCCCATGCACTTCGTGGCGCCCTTCTTCACCCAGGGCATGGTGCAGCAGGGGCAGATCCAGGATGTGGGCACCTTGCCCAGGGGGCGGTTCTCCAGGCCCCCGTACCCCAAGCCAGCGCGCTTGCCAACCTGCTGTCCCGGGGTGCTGAGCCGGGCCTCATGCTCGTACTTCATCTTGGCGATGTAGAAGGCCTCCACAACGCGCTCCAGGCCCCCCTGCTTGAGTTGGGGGCCCTCAAAGCCTCGCAGGAGCCGCTGGACGTCCTTGGCCTGCAGTCGGCGGAGCCTAGTGGCCGTGGTCGCATCGAAGCAAGGGAAGTCGCCCGCCATCTGGTCGTCGCTGAACTGGTAGAGGCCCTCCGAGACCTTGAGGGCCTTGGTGAACACGCTCCCCCCCGGCGGGGGGGCTGCGGGGTTCTCATCCTCCTCCGAGGACGCCTGCTCCTTGACCTTCGCCATCAGCTCCCGGCGCCTCTGCCACTTGGCGTCTGCCCGGGCATCCAGGCGGGCCTCCTCCAAGCGGGCTGCAGCCGAGGGGGACCTGGGCATCGGCAGCTCCTTCTCGTCCTTCGCCAGGAGCTCCTCCATGGGCACGTCCTCCTCCGGCGGGTTCAGGAGCTCCAGGAACGCTCCTGGGGGGCGTGTCAGGGCCTTCGGCACCTGCGCCACCCCAGGGGCTGCATCTTCCATCGGCTCATCCTCTGCCTTGCGCTTGGCCGGGATAAGGGGGGCCTGCTCCAGCTCATCTGCGCTGGAGAAGAAACGCTCGTCAGGTGCCTGAGGGACCTCAGCAGCCAAAACGGTCCATCCTTCTTCCTCCCTCTTCACGAGGCTCGCCAGGTACTTTGCCATGGAGGCCTTTGCCTTAGCCTTGGCCTCTGCTACCGCGGCACCAGCGTAGGCGGGGGCGTACATGGCTTTGAGAGTAGGGGAAAGAAAGATTTCAAATCACAAGACAAAAGATCAAAAGGTCCACTTGAGCCAAAATGGTGGCCCAAGTGGATACTTATTAAGAGTCAAGACAAGCGACCACCTACGGTTAACGCTTTAGCCCATTCTGGCATCCCTCCCCTCCTGAGTCAGTGCGGCAAAAATCCGGCAAACAGTGGCAAAGCACAAAGAAACGGGGGCATCAGTCCATATTGTGTATACATCTATTATGTGGCTATAACTTATCCCTCACGTTCTGTGGCCAAGAAACATGGAGCATGTGACTTTGCCACCAAAACGGTCCTCCGAAAAAGTTATTGAAGAAATTCGGGGACGGAGTTCCTCTAGGAGCAGCGTATCTCAGGGGACTTGACCTTTTGCAGATCTCCAAGGGGCCATGCACCTCTTGGGAGGGGGTTCTCAAAATGGATTCGAGCTGCTGTCGGGTGGTAGTTAAAGTGAAACTAAAAGGAAACCACACGTTTTGGGGGACCACGATTTTGACCTCCCGGGCACTCCACACATGTTCTGACTCAACATCTGCGCCTCTGACCTCCGGAACTCTTGGCCCCCCCACGCGTATGTGCAGTCCTCACCTGGCTTGGACCCGTCGGTTCCAAGTCCCAGCCGATAGGTGTTTTGGGCCCATGAGAAAATCGGAAGCCCGCATTCAACCCCTGGTTGATTCATAAATCCCCATTTTTGTGGGGGGTGCATCAGCTTTGAAGGGAACACCCCATTAGTAGGATGAGCTTACACATCTGCAGTCAACATTACTCCTGTATCCAACCATGGCAGTCAAGGCTTCGTCCAAAACTAGACCCAAAACTGTCAGTCGGTCAAAATACGACGAGCGCATTAGAAAGTCTCAGCCATGAGAGCTCACGATTCGAGATGTGGAGGCGGTGGGCAAAGACATCTGTTTAAATTGCCCCAGAGACGCTGGCCGGCCTTTACGCCGGAAACGGGAAACTGAGGTCAAACTCCCTGGACAGCCAGGCGTAGGACATCCTGCTACATCTACGTTAAGGAAAATGCGGCAAATCCAGGAAATCCGGAAACTGAGAGGGGTCAAATGCTCCGGCATTCTCGCAGTGTTCAAAAGGGCCCAAGTCCTGTGCCGCCGTGTGCGCTGATCCCAAAGCTTTGAGGTCAAGCGCCGTGAGTCAAAACTGGCGCACGGTCATAACAGTTTGAAGTTCTCAAGCGTGCGCCAACAGTTTGTCGGAATTGCAGTCTCAAACGGTTCGCCAAATGAACCCCTCCTGCAAGCCTGGCCCTCATCACGAAAGAAAACATTCATGTCACGATGGTATATCTCATGCCCCCGTGTCTGAACATTGGCTATTCCAGCCTTCTGCCCAATGTGGCATAAAAAACTGTTCGAAGAAGCTTTTTACAGGCATATTGCAGTGTTGCTTCTTTCACGACCGGAAGTTCTCAAATGCCTTGTCGCAGTCTACATCAGTTGAAACAGTGCGCAGCCTGCCCCTTTTGACCCTTGCCAACTGTTTTCCACACATTGGCTGGCCCAACCGACTCGGAAACCAAAGGGCTATATGTGTAGACTCTTGGCCTGAAAAAGGACTGAATTACGCAGCTTCTCATCAGGCCAATGTCAGCCTCTAACCCTCAACCAAAAACTTGAGTGTCATTCTGACCGGTGCTGAGTGAAGCTTTTGTGAGATTCAGCCGAAGGTCTCCCCCAGCCCAAAGCATTTCGTCCGGCCTGGCGCCGCCGCCCTGGCGAGCCAAAGCGGAAAAAAGTGCAAAGAGCACCCTAGGACTCTGCAGGGCCTGTACTCCCATCACCGCTTCAAGACCTACGGATGGGTGTGGCTTAAGATAGGAGACCCCCACAACATGTAAGTTTCCTTTGGTTGCTCAACAGGTTATCCTGGATGAAGAGACAGACACCCTGATGTGTTCCACGCGGAATCCACTTAGCAACTCCCAAGTGCGCCTCGCCGGGCTACCGGGGACTCATCAGAGTCCATGGCCTGAAGAGGCGTTGCACGTGTTTCTACAGTCTCCCTTGAACACCAAGGCGGGATTCCCCAAAAAAGAGGCTGGAATGGATCATTCCAGAGATAGGGGCCTGAAATCAGGTTTCACGCTAGTTGCTGGGAAGAAAGTAATTTACAAAATCACATGGACGCCCCTAGTCTTCTTGCGCCTACAGAACCAAGGGTTTGAAGCAGGAAGCACCCGGGTAGAAGAATTTGACTTGAGAAATGGAAGGCCATGCTGCAGAGGCAGGGTTGATAGCTACCCCTACCGAAGAGCCGAACCAAAAGCTGGTATTAAGTCAATTGGCTTATCCTCGAGGTCATGTCTCACGCTGGGGATCCGGACGTCTCTTGCAGGAACCATCCCTCTACCGTATCCGCGATTCATAAGGGCAGTCCGGCCAAACTAGCAACCACTGGCCCTCCCGTGACTTCCCTGCACTCCAATGCAGGGGCCTTGCAACCTTGTTTTTCCTTCCGGCCACTCTACAAAGTCAGCCAAAGTTGGCAAATGCAAACAGTTGGTCTTGAAGCGATGTCCAAGTATCGCAAATGGCTCCGGCTAAAGCGAGGACAGGACCGAGCCAACCTCCCAGGTTCAGCCCCAGACAGGTGCCCCCCGGCCGCTCAGTTCAAAACCTGGCGCCCCTGGCCGCCGCAGCCGCATTCACCAAAAATACAGGATGCCCAAACAGCGCTGCAAAATTTTGACGAACCCCCCCTGATCCCCCATGTAAGCTTTCCTTTGGGGATACGCACTCTCTCACTTGGGCACCCTGAGTCCGGATCCTGAGAGAACCGGCTCCTGCCTGGGTGTGCGTGGGAACAAAAACACCAGCACGCCCGTGTGGTCTATTGGCTCTGCTGGTGCTGTGTGGGCTTCTTGCATCTGAGCAAAACTCGAAGATCGCTGGTCGCTTGTAGCTGAAATACTCGTCTCTCCTTTCCCCTCCCGCTGAAAGCAGGCGGGCGGGTGCGCGGATTTCAGAAAGGCGCCTTCAAAAGGCAACTGATGGTTCAGGTGTGTTTTGACTGGTGCTGTGTTTGCGATACCCCGAAGATTGAGCGGGACAAAGGCTGAGCAAATTAATGCTGATTTGCTATTGGGTCGGAATCAGTCACACCGAACGCGTTGACAGGGATCATCAATGAAGAAATCACATCATCTGTTGTTTGTGGCACATCTAGGCATGCCCTCAGTTTCTTCACAGGTCCGTTGCAGCAGTTGCTTTGAGAGTAGCTTTCTGAATTGTGTCCTGCTGTTCCCCGAGTGTTGCTTGCAGCATTAGGGTCCAAAGTGCCCAGGTGCCCTCACCATGGGAACGCACATTGCACCCACCTTTTGACCGTTTGATGCCCCTGTGGTGATTTGTAGCCATCCCTGCAACGTGAAGCTTTTAACCACATGACTCGACCTTTTTGGGAAGACAGGAGTAATGAAAGATGCGCCGTCTTTTAGGGGTGCTCAAGAGCAACCTGCAACATCATGCAACCTGTTGGACTCTTACCATATCAGCTGGGCATACATGCGGTATATCATTGCGGTGGGGGACAAGTTGTCGGGTTTCGGCTTGATGTTGGGGCTATTCCCTGCCTGTCAAAAAGTGAGATGCAATACATGACTTTTTGTAGGGTACCTGTGTGTGACAGGCTTTTCCTGGCAAACCACAGGGAAGCCGCTCATTTTGTGGGTTCCCCTTTGAGACAACCCGTCTTCTTAGCCTTGAGCGCGATACCTCCCCGTCCTCGGAGTTTTGGGCAACGCACTGGCGCCTTGGTGTCCAAACAGGGGGACCCGAAGGATTGTGTGGTGTGGGTTGTGTGTGTGTGCGCGCGAGTGTGTCTGTTTCTGCGTCTGTGTCGGTGAGTGGGGGTACCCGCCGGGTACCCTTTTTCAGCACAAGGACAAACCCACAGTCGCCCCCAATGCTGTTTGGGGGAAGAGCTCCTTTTGTAAGTGTGCTTTAAAAAGGAAACCAACATGTTCGGCCCCCAGGGAGCGATCAAACGTACAAGAGCTTCTGCGTCAGTTACCCATATGGAGCCTCACAAGAACGGGCCCCTGCTTCTCTTTGCTTCATACAGTACATGTTGTTATATCTGCAAAAAACTGTGTCTAACAGAATCAGAATGGGGTGCAGCGTTTTCGCAAAGGCAACCCCCGGTTTCAAAACGGATTGTGAGAAATTGGGGGGGGGGGGGGTTGAAAGCATGCCAAAATGGGCCGCAGTGCCCCGACCGAGCTCCAAGGCCCCACGTCTTAAACAATGCAAGCGCTAAACCCAAGTGGGATTGTTGGACTCAAAATCGTGTCTTCCAAATCCAGGGAGTGCTCTTCACTTTTGATTTCGGCTTCAATCAACCAACACAATGTTGTACTGAGCCTCGAGAAAAAAAAAAAAAAAAAAAAACGCACGCATACCCATGGCTCCCTGGCGACGAGATGTCAAACACGATGAGCCCCAACTCTTCCTCTGGTCTTGACATGCGCCAGGTTCCACGTTCGCACCTTACTTCCACAACACAAAACAAGTCTTGGTCCTGCTTTGGATTCTCTTTGAAGCACCCCAACGTACCAACTCCAAAGGCAAAACCCTCAGGAGTGCGGCCTCCAGAATGTTACCCTGTAAGCAATAGTGTCCTACCCTAATCCGCCAAGCTTTGCACAAACCAAGCCCAGTAGGCTCTGCTTTGAAAATATTAGGCCGTTCCCTCCGCAAGACAAACAATCTGGCAAAAATGGGACACCGCCTAATCAACAAGAATGGATTTTCCAGACACCCACCCCTGCTTAAAATCATAGTTTGAGTAGTCATGGGTTTCCTGCTGTGTGTCAGGGTTGTCGCCAATTGAAGCAAAGACCGTAGGGGCGCCAGTGCCGAAATGGATGCCTAACTGTGAAGGGCACTGGCGTAAATGTTACCGTCATACCCGGAGGACCGTACTCAACAGGGCGGTTTCCCTTGGGCAAGAAAATGAACCCTTTTGCAGGGACCCCACTGACTTGTTGTTTTGGAATCATCCGAAGCTAGCACTCCAGCACCTTCTAAAGGTGGCCCATTTGCACTGAAGCGCCCTTGTTGACGCCATTTCGGACACCAGTTTCCAAGGAACGTCTTAGAGGCAACCCACGGCTTGCCGGGCCACGTGGTGTCCACCGGAGCGCACACTCGCCACAGGGAGCAACCTGCCTGGCAAGCGAAGCTCGGGGCCCGGGGCCCCAGGGTGCCTGGGATCTGCGCAGTGGCCATTGATCTACTAAGGTAGCCGACTCGTGCATTTTTTTCCGGGTTGGTGTTGAAAAGCAACCAAAAGGTCAAACTACCATATTGAGAGTCTCCCTATGTTCGTGTCTACGATACTTGTAGTTTTACAGGGAAAGCAAAGTCGAAACGTTACACATTACGCATTCTGACTGGCTTCCCCAAAATGGATGCAACATGAAATATGTTTGCCAAGAGGGCACGGGAGCCTCACGAACACGAACAAGCCCGTACCCCCTGCATCAAAGGTGGAACCGTATTTCTCGCTTCTGTTCCCGGGGTGAAATAAGCGGACAAAAACGGACACCCTACTTTGAGAATGGAAAGTAACGATGCTATGACACAGAACAATGCATGTGGAAGAGAACGATGCATCGTGTGATCCAGCAGCTGAGGGACAACGATGTTTCTACTGAGTGCGCGATTGCGAACAGAATGGCTCCTGCAAGATTGGAACAAAGGGACAACTATTTTGGAGGGGCCATCGGGACTCAAAAAAGAAGACACGGACCCATTTTGCCATGCCACTCGGCCTCAGCAGGACAGGCGCCACCCTCTAGGCCTGTGGTGAATTGAATCTCTGCCTGGCCACGTTGAAGCTTCGGGCCAAACCGCTTTGGTTTCAAGGGCCCGAACCGCCGGCAAAAACCGGGTGTCTCTCAATGTGGTGGTTGGTTTCCTGGTGTTCCTTTCAGAGCAAAAAGGGTCCATCATCTTGGGAAAGGGGTGTCAAATTATTAGAATCCGGATCACTGTTGTGGGGAAAGCGCACGCAACAGTATGAATCGCCGATTTATTCGTCGGGGGTTGGTGTGAAGGAAGAGTGTCCGGATCGGTGAGCGAGGTTGGCCTCCTGACGAAAATCAGCGCCCATGGCTGATCATGAGATGGGCGCTTGGGACCTGCTTCATTCGCCAAAAGTCAAAGGATACTGAGCGGTTTGGCGCTTCACTCGGCTTGCCCCTCAGACACGATTGTGAATGCCGTCCAAGTGCGATTTGGGGAGTGCCTACAGAGTTCCCGGCAGCTCGCAAAACATGGAACGCGAGGATTTCCCAAGGTGCTCAACCAATGCCGCCAGAAACCGATATGGGTGATTTTTCTAAGTCCGACCAAGCAAGGGGAACCAGCTTTCTGTACTCCAACGGTATAGGTAAATTGAACCAGGGGGTCGTTCAAAGTGTTGCTCAAATTGGGGACCAAATTCTTCCAGGAGCTTGTCATACATGTATCCGCCAACCGAAGGCTGTCCCGTTTTGAAGGTACTGCCATCGAACATTCACACCGCTGCCAGCCCCAAAGTCTATGTCACCAATGGACGCAAGCCTGGTCGCATGTCAACATATGGCTGTGGGTCAAAACCAATGGTACCATTTTGGGGTAGGTGCACCACCCATTTTAGAACCTATTCTAGTGGGGATTGGGATGTTCACTGGGGGTACGATTTGGATTTTGGCCCATGGCCATAATATGTCAAAATGAGTTGAACTCCCAGCGAGCAGCTGGACAGCTCCGTTTGACCAATCTGGTGCTGCCGACATGTGTAGCCTGGCAGTCCCCTACTTCCACATCTCTTCAAATGCTGGGCTTCCTTTAGGCTGCACTTTGCACACCAACCTAAGGCGGATTGCCTTTTGTTGAGGGAATGAATGTTCTAGAGGGTGGTTTCCCTTTGGCTTTCCTTCACAACAACAACAAAACGGGTACCCTCAAAACAAGACAAGCCTATTTTCAGCAACCCAACTCGCCTCCCGCCGTCGCCCTTCCCGAAACCGGCCCAAGGCGCCGCGTCGCCGGCACTGGTGGCCAGAATGCTCGCCGGCCGCAGCACGTTGCCGAGCTGGAACTGCACCTAGGTTCCCTTCCCGAGCTCAAGGACGCTGGTACAAACAGAAGACAAGATGTGAGGCTGGATGTTCCATGCCGTTTTCGGGCACGTACAGAAGGGAACCCGTTTACAGGCTTGGCCCACTTCTGGCGGACACAAAACATACGTTCAGATTCTGCTTCATATTTCGCCTACCTCAAAATCTAAAGTAGTGTTGGAGACCCCAAGTTTGGGGGGATGACAATCTTTAAGGGGAACAACTGGGTGTTTCCTTTTTGAGGGTACCCAGTTTGGGGTGGTTGCAGGGAAATCAAAGGGACACCGTGTCAGAAGACAGACACAACTGGGACTCCAAAAAGGAGACACTGCAAACCCAAATGGACCGAAGCTTGGAAAGGCCATGAGTTCAATCGAGAGCCACTGGACTGGTTACAATGCTTGGGTGTAGATATTTGTCCTTTAAGGGTACCCGTTTGTCGGAGTCGTTCACAAATGAACAGGGAACCACTCAGTTTAGCGCTCCCATAATTTTGACACACACACACACACATCACCCCATTTGTCGCCATGCACTTGCTGAGGTGTTCAAACCAAGTACCTGAAAACTGCCCGATGCCCGGCATTTCCAAGGATCGAACAAGGATCGACCCAAAGGTAGGGTCCTATCTCCGAACAGGATTGCACTGTTTAACACCCAACCAGCCAGCGCCAACCAGCCAACCATCTCCCCGACCTCGTCGCCGGCGCGGCAGGGAGACCTGCGAGGCTTACCATCCAGGGCCGAGTGACCAAAGAAGTCAGCACTATTTTCAGGCAACTAAGGCATAGATCCCATTCATATAAGTTTCGAGACAACATAACTACAACCTCCATGCCTTTAACACCTAGTGGGAACTATTTTACCAAACCCCAAAGTAGTTCATCCCCTCCCCCTTGGAATCCCCTTCTTCGGAGCCTTGCTAAGGTATAGTGAGGCTCCTGAGAATGGTGGTTCCAGCGCGAAAGAGCTGGGGATTCCTGCGAGATACCCCCCCACAAAACGGGCATCCCTCGCCTGCAGTCCCCCTCGCAGCCCTCGCGCTTCTCCAGCTGGTCGAAATACCTCACGATCCGTCGCGGCTCACCCCAAATGCCTCAATTTGAGAGGACGATGGCGGGGGCGTCTTGCAGATTCCAGGGAAACCTTCGCCTCGGACTTGCCCAGAAAGACTTGAGCAACCACAAATTGGACAACTCTTAGATTCCCTTCATTCGCTGCGAGGAGACGCCCGTTCTGCGGTCAAACAATATCCTAAAACCCTTCGACCATGCTCCACTTGTGTTTAGTTTCAGCGCGGACCCTGTTGTGGCAATTGGTTGCCCCTTTCAGCGACATCAAAGTGGTTGCTTCCCATCCAGCCGACTTGATCACTGTGATGCACTGATCATCCCTTGATACTCAGCAAATCGCAACCTAAAACATATTGTTCTACAACTATGATCCAACATCATATAACAAATAATCAAACCAACTTATGTAGTCTAATACCGTAGTTTCAGCTGAATCAGCTACTTGAATTCACAGATCCAAACACACCCGTTGAGTCTGATCTCCGGCCCTGTACCCCGCGCCTGGCGAACTTGGTGGGGATCCGGTCCTCCTTGGCATACGCATCCTCCCCGAGGCTGACTTCATCATAAGGCGCCTGCGGAGGCAACAAGCTTCCGCTTTGGGCGAAGCTTGCGGACGGGCGAAGCTCGTGCCCGAAGGGCAAGAAAGCCAAATTACACAAGGCTTTATGTGGGCAAGCAAGGGGGTGAGGAAACCAAAATGAGCAAATTGTGCCAGGAACTGAAGGGACAGCCTCCAAAATGGCTGGTGGACATCAATCCTTGCGATGTCCACCGGGGCCCCAAACATTAACCAAAAGAAACCTCGCTTTTGATTGGCCCGAAACTCAAGCTCAAAGCAACCAACCGGAAAATCTTGGGAACGGAGGCTTCCCCAGGTCCAGTTCGGCCGCATGCGGAAAGGGTCTGAGTGTCCGAGGGGGTGAGAGGTCGTCCACGGCATGACCAGAGCGCTGCCTGTGCTAAACAGCAAGTGTGGAAGACTCAAAAACCAGACCACCAGTGGGGGAAACAAAAACACACACACACAGTCTTTTTTGGTAGTTGACCCTAACGGAAAATGACATCCAAACGAAAGGAACAACCCACACCGCATTCACCAACCTCCAGTAAAACATCAGCCAAAATAAGGGGACTTGCGAGACTGCTAGAACTTGCCCATTCTACATGAGCCTTTTGGAGGATGTTGACAGGAAATCAGAAGGGGTTTCCACAACCCTCAATGAACCCTTCTCGGAAGGATTCTCCAGCTGGCCAATGAGCAATGATGGAGCGTCATCTCCGAACTGGCCGCTTGACCGCCATGAGGGATAGTAACCCGGAAAGCAAGTAGAAGGCGCTGCCATTTGTCCAATGATTCAAAGTCATAGCAACATGGTCCTTGATGGCCCCTAGAAGAAAACTGCAATGAAATACAATTCTGATTTCCTGTTCGGCACCAACCCCCGCATTGGCTTTCTGGGAACCGCCAACATTTGCTTAACCAACATTTGCTTAATTTAACAAGCATATGCATCCTGGATTCCACCCTGTTGTCACCCTGACCTTTCACGCGTTTTAAGCATTTGCTGCAGACTGTCAGGGGAAGATGGTCCTATGAATTTGTTGCACAAGAGTTGAGCCAACCAGCTGTTGTAACATGTTGAAACCACTCTCAAGCAACTCTCTGGCGTCCTTTAAAGGGCGCCCAGGGTCTGGTTGTCTAAAGATACTTTGCTGAACTCCAAGGTGGAACCCACTCTAGGTCTGAAGAACAAGGTGCACACCTGGGCTGCGGGAATGACCCCACAGACCTTCAGCAAAAATGCGGTGGCAAAGGATAACCACCAAATCAAGGGCGCCGGTTTCCTTTTGGCTTCCCTTTAAACCAACCCCGAGGATACGGAGCCACACAAACACACAAACTGGAAGTTTCTCCAACAGCGCCAATTCCTCCAGCGGGTTCCTCTTGGTTTCCCCCAAATGCGAGTCTAAAATAAATGGGGGACACCCCCAAAATTGTTTGTCTTTGCTTTAAACCGGCCCCAAAAATGTACCCCAAAACATGACAGGCCGAAATGCACGCTTTGGTGTCAGCATCTTGTCAAGGCAGCCTGGGGCGGCAGGTCCTCTTTGGGCAGCCGGTCGCCCGGAGCGATGAGACCCGCCTGTCCGTTGCAACGAAATTCAAAAAGGGACCTTGGCATGGGACCTATACTCGGTTGCTTTCTGCTCCCCTGATAAAAGTTTAACTTTTGGTTGTTTAATGGAAAGCCCATTAGCTGGCAGAAAGTTAAAGTCCTAACATCCAAGCAAAATGCACCAAAGTATAGGTATGTGTAGGCTTCACTAAGCCTTCACTAAGGGTCGCATGTGATACTGATGTGCAAAATCCACTTCGCACCAGTTGGTACGAGTAAATGGTTTATCAACGGTGCAGGCTTTTGTGCATCTCAACTGGTGCAGGGCTTCGGTCTATTCGGAGTATGGGTGCGTCTCAAAAGTTGAACCAATGCTCAGGGTGGTTAGTTCTCTTTGCACTTCCCTTGTACTAAGCATCAAAAGCAGGGCGGTCTCCAAGCACAGGACCACCCAAAGTCAGAGTGGGTTTGGTTTCCCTGTCACACAACCCCAAACATGGAGTCCGACTCCAGGAGAAAAAAAGCTGCATTGAGGCGGGGGACAGTTCAAAAGAACTAAAGGGGATCCTGGACTAACAAAAAACAGCTGGGACTGCTAGGGCGTAGGCAATCCTTCACTTTGGGATGAATCCACAAGGTTTCTCAATCTGGGGGGTCGACGTTCATCTTTGTAGGCATTTGAAAAATGATAGCTCAATATTGTGCAGGGGGAGGGTTGGCGAGGTGCCCAATTCCATTTTCCTCGTCTATCATGGGAAAGTGGTACTATCCCTCGGCCAGTTTTTTTTTCAAGATTACATGACCCTGCGGGTTTCCACACCGTAGACAATGCCGAGTCTGTTTCAGGGACCCCAAAAACGGCCAGGTTCCTTTCGGCTTCAAACTACTCACAAAAAAAAGGTATCCTCAAAAATGGCCTGTTTCCTTTTCGGCTTCAAACCACTCCACAAAAAACAGGTACCCTCAAAAAGACCTCCGGCAGCTACCAATCCGTTTCCACCGCTTCACCGCCCGGCTGGCCGAGCGGCGTGAATCACCTCCGGCTCCCAGAAGCTGCCCAAGGGAAACTTGGATCGAGCGGCGTCCAGAGATTTTTCAACCAAAGAGCTCACTGAGATTGGTCCAAAAGTCCAAAGTTGGTGGCCACTAAAAATGCTTTCCCCAAAACTACAGAAACACGAAGAGAGGCGTCCCTCTCTCCCTCTCTTCCTCTCTCTCACTCTCTCGCTCTCTCGCACTCGCAATCTCTCTCTCTCTCTCTCTCGCTCTCGCGCTATCTCTCTCTCTCTCTCTCTCGTTCTCTCTCTCTCTCTCTCTCTCTCTCTTGTTCTCTCGCTCTCGCTCTCTGACTCTCTCTCTCTCTCTCCCTATATGTATATATACATTTGTATGATATATGCATGTAGCAACTGTACATGTGTAATTACATATATAAACGTAAATAGTTATATACACATACATATGCATATATACATATTGATTTATATATACCATCTTATCCGTTCCAGCTTTGGCCTCGAAGAGGCTTCTGTTTCTAGCCGACTTACCAAAAACAAGCCTCGGACTCTTTCAACGCCTACAGTACAGCACTTTCTACACGCTGCTTGCATAAAATTCAGCTGAGGCCATCCACACGAGCCATCCGCTTCTGAAGCCTTCCCTCACTAAGCTGAAGCATCTGCTTCAGGCTCGCCCCAGTATTTTACCATGATCAAAGTCACCCCCTAAGTGGTGGGGTAAAGGGAAACAGCCCAATTTCTGACTTTGATAACCCCCAGAAACCGTCAAAATTATGACCCCTGTCATGTTGCCCAACATCTGAAGCATTCAAGACTAGTCGTCACAATCTAAACTGCTTCTCAAGAATGACCACTGCCTAAAGCAAACTTTCCAGAATTGGTCAAACCCGGCATCTGTCCAGTGTGTGTCCAGTGCTTGTTTGCTTGCAAGAGGTAAAACCTGGATCCTGGGGGGCGTCCAAAAAAATATGCATATTTACATATATATATATATATATTAAAACTAAATTTGACTGAGCAGCCATCTTGCGGAGTGTGCTCCCCATGCATGCAAAAGACGGTTTTGGCAAAAAACAGTATCAGCACAAAAAAGAACGCCTGAAACTGCTGCTTGATGCACAACCATGGTTTAATCTCTATCCCCTTTCCCACTAGCTCGAGCATCCCGGGCTGTAAAGTCTGCAGACTTCAGTGTGAAGCCAGAACCTCAGTCGACGCGGAGTGGAATGGCCGATTTCGGCCATGGAACTCCAAATCCTAGTAGACCTGTCCGTGATGTTCGTGTGGCACTCAAACCCATGGGCTTCAAACCTAATGCAACAAAGAGGCAGTCCGCCGCTCTTCAACTTGACCATATTACAGAAGGGTTTGCAAAAGCTCAAGCTCAATGGGTATCCATCAACCTAGCACGCAAAGGTCCGTCACACAACGCTGCACAGGCTACCCGCAAGGCCTGCAAGGCCCTGGCTGTTGCCTGCCGTGGCCTTCACATAGCGGAAGACCTGAACGGAAAGGAAAACTGGGCTCGATGAAAACCGCTGTCCATGTTTGGTCGTTTCAAAGACCCGGAATATGGAGCAACTAGGGGGAACCTAGAATTTTAAAACTTAAACGTCGATTTGCTTTAAGTAAGTGTTTCTTGTTTAGAGATGGCTTCAGGCTCAGCCCAAGAACGCACGGGCTACTACACACACAAGTGTACTTTGGCGCAAGCTGAAACCCAGCCTGTTTAACAAAACCCTGCGTTCTCCGTCTCGCAAAGAATACACCAGTACCCCAGGTCTTCGGCTATTTGAAGGTAACCAGTCACCGAGGCCTTACTCTATGAGTTTATCTCGTGTCGCGAGTCGCAATTATATTATCAGTTCTGCAGGCTTCTGTTAGTGTGCTTCTGTTTGTGTGCCCTTCAACTCGGATGCCTTTCACCCTCAAAAGCCAAGGGCAGCCGGAGAGGCTCACAACCAACATCCAATTCAAGCACCTCTTTGAAACTATGTGTTTCCCATCTTTTTATAGCACCCCAAAAAAGGTAGTCCATGAAACAAAAGAAACAACACCCCCACATGGAGTTTAGAGCTACTCCCCACAAGTTAACATGAAACCCAACAACGGTTCCCCCGAAAGAAGATCTTCTGTGAGGTTCCACGATCTGCCTGAGACCCCGTTGCCTGGCCCGCTGCCGGTGCCGAGCCGCAATCACCTGAGGGGTTCCGCCCAGTTCGAGACACTGAAATGGACCCCAAACCTGAGCCAAAAACTAATGCTGCTTCGGATCCAGCGCCCAAAACATGAAATGATATCGGAGACCCCAGACGTATGAAGGGTTCCGCCATGGGACACAACTGGACCCCACCAAACAGAGAAACGCAGAGAATCCATGGAGCTTCAGGATCCGCATTTCACAATCACTCACTGGGTTTTCCGGTGAAAAGTTGCATTGCTTTACAAGCATCCAATTTTGCGAACCAATCCAAGCAAACTTCATTGGTCTAAAGGTGGCCAAAGCATTCAATCGGCTCTATTTGGGAACCCTCAAAACGGTCTGTGTTCTGTCGGTTTCCCTGTAAAGCCATCTGAAGACCCAGAAATGATGGTTTTTCCTTTGGTGTCCCTTTAGAACCACCCAAGAAAAGGTACCAACTCAAACAAAAAGAGGACCCACCCGTTTGGATGCTGCCACCCGTCTCTCCGGTGTCGTTTTAGCTCCGGGCAGTGGGCGATGCCCTTGACGCTGTTCGGCTCCATGACCTGTCGCTCGTCTCATGGCATCCCAAAATGGCTCCTTCGGTGTTCCTTTGTCCAACGCAAAGAAACAAAATGAAACAACACACTCCCCAACAAACGGCAGTCTCCAAAAAAACACCCGTAACTAGAATAGGGTTCTGGGGTGCTTGTAAAACCAAATGGAACCATAAGTAGAGTGGTACGCTGCTAGAAATCTGATTCTGCTCCTTATATTGACATGCTGGTTCTCACTGGTCCCACACCCATTACTGACAGGAGGGTGTTGGAAGGCTTCCTTTTGTGGCAGCCTCCGGCATTTTTCAAAGTCACTCCCCCCGTGGTAAGTTAAAGGGGGACCTTTATCAGATCTTTTCGCTGGTTTCACCCCATCCGCTTGAGCTCCTTGATACATATGGCCATGGTTCAAAACCAACGGTACCATTTTGGGACAGGCGCACCACCCATGTTCGTCTATTTTAGTGG